AGAGCCTCAAGGGATCCTGCACTGCCCCTGTGCAGTAGTATCCACAGATACTACCTCCTCCTGTGAGGAACCTTGTGTACCGTTGGGGGTCTTAGAGGAGCCAATTCAATTACTTCTTTCTGTTTTCACTTTCTTCTCTTGAAACCCCTCCTCTACGTCTGCACCTGTAGCCATAGTTGGGGCCAAGGGGACCCCTAGTCAGAGATTCTTTGCCCTGATGTGTCATTTGGAAGGACAAACGTTTAGCCATGAGTTTCTAATTGTCCCATAGTGTCCTACTCCTCCTTTTCTAGGAAGAGACTTACTAGCAATTCCCAAGTTCCGGCAAAGGCCAAAACAGATTTTACCTAGAGGAACTACTCTAGGTCACTCAAACCTAATTAGCCAACAGGTGGGCCCTGCTGCGTGGCACAATGGAATACCTGATTGAGAAAACCCTTCTCCACACATCAGAAAAGGAGTTTTTTGTGTGCCTTCACCCAAGTCTACAACAGAAACTAGAACTCCTGACTCCCTCCCCCTTAGGTCAGAGTGATTCCTGAGACCAAAGGTTCCTTGAGGTCCACAGAGAAATGCCTCACCAAGTACCAGACCACGCTCTTAGCCACGCTGAGGCTATTATAAAGTTTGCACTACCCTAATCCTGCCTCTTTGATCCTACAGGCCCAGAAGCTAGCCGCTGCTGGGAACAAGTGATCTCCCAATGAATGCAAGCAGGCAGGACATCAATAATCTGCCTCTGCCAAACCCTGAGGAGATGTGGTCCGTTGATTAAAGCGGCTTTGTTCAAGAAAGACAAGAGGCAGATTATGCCATTGTCAGTTCACAACAGGTCATTGAGGCCAAGTTCCCCCAGGAACTTCTGCTCAAAGAGCAGAGATAACGGTCTTACTCAGCCATGATATTAGAAGGCAAGAAACTATATAAATCTAATATGACGTTCTGGTTCTACACGCCCACGCACCCATCTGGAAACAAAGAGCTTGCTGACTAATACAACAAGCAGGATATCTACAAGTCTTAGAAGTGGTCTATCTCCCCAAGCAGGACACTGTTGTTCATTGAAATGGATCCCAAAGAGAAACGTCCAAAGTGTCCTTGGGAAATCCAAAGGCTGATAGGGACGCAACTAGGGCAACCCTATGGCACTACAAGATCGAAGCCCAGTGGTGGTAACCTACGGCATGCATGCTACAGTGGGCTGTTTTATCACCGAAAGCTCTAAAAGGCTCAGCACCACTGCCCTAGCCTTATTCCCAGTTCCTAAAGAACCATTCTGACGCCATGACAAGCTATAAAAATTCCTACACGGAAAGCGGTCACTAGAATCTACTCAGGAGTAAGCAGAAAGCTATTTCTGAGAAGCTCCGAAGACCCGAGCTCCGCTTCAGAAAGCGAGACTCCAATATTGCTCTGGGAGCAGGTGAAAAGAGTCACTAATGACCCTAATTCACCACAGCTTACATGGGCACCTGTACTCAGGCTCCTGTTTTTAAATATGTCTGCTATGTGGGTAATCTTGCCAAGGCTCTGGCTCTCTCTTGATAATCATCTCTCCTCGATCTTTCCTACACTTTGTCCTCCACAAGAAGTGTGGAAATCGGACCTGCTCCTCACACTGGGGTCCTACAGTCTCAACGCAATAGTAAAGTGAGTTTCTTTCCCATTATTAGACAGCTCCACATCCACCAGCACTTTTTCCATCGTCTTCTCCTGGTTTTCTCTTTTCTTCTTCAGTTCAGCTGGTGAGCCACGACACCCAAAGGTAGACCCCGTAAAGAAGCATGCGGATTTGGGCCGTCGGGAGGAAATGAGACACGTGATTAGGGCACGGCCAGACCGTCGGGGAAACAGGCCTGACCTGTTCATTGCAAACTTTGGAAAAGTCGCTCAGAGCAGCTCCCAAAGCCCCGTGTATGGACTTCGTACAAGAACTTCGCAAGCAGGTTTTTGATAGGATGGCCTAGACTTGATGTCGGTCTGAGGAACAGATGATACAAAAGGACAGTTGCCGCTGGGTTTTTCGTTGTTCTCTCTTGCACGGATGCATTGCCCTCATGCTGCAGGGTGCCCTTCTTTTCCTAATTTTACTTGGCCTAAATTCGCTCTACAAAGCCCCTTTCCTCTCCTACCTTTAATAAAACTTTGTTACTGTTAAAAGACGACCCAAAACATCTCAGTTTCTAGAGAAAAATTGTATTCTCCATTTCTAGGGGAAAAAGAATAAACCAAATCCAAAATCAATAGAAGGAAAGATCAGAGCTGAGATTACTGAATTGTTGACGAAATGAACAATACGAAAGATCAGTGAATCAGAGTTGGTTCTTTGAAAAGAGAAACATGATCGATAAACCCTGGGCCAAACTAACCTAAAGAAAGAAGACACCAATTAATACAATTAGAGTTGAAAGGGGTGATAGTATAACAGATACCACTGAAATTCAGAGGATTCTTAGAAACCATTTTGAAAAACTTCTATTCTCAAAAACCGGAGAACTTAGAAGAAATGGATAAACTTCTAGATGCAGATGACCTAAAAGAATTAAATTGAGTGGATATAAAAAATCTAAGCAGATCAACAATAAGCAATGACATTGAAACAATAATAAAAAGGCTTCTGATACAGAAGACCAGGACTAGATAGATTTAAAAAAAATTTTTTTTCTACTGGGGATCAATCTCAGGACCATACACTTGCAAGGCAGGCGGCAGAAACACTGAGCTAAATCCCCAGGCCAGGACTAGATAGATTTATCACTGACTTTCACCAAATCTCTGAAGAACTAGAAACAACGCTCTTCAAACCACTCTATGAAACAGAAAGGAAAGAATGCTTACAAATTTATTCTAGGAAGATAGTATCACCCTGACATAGAAAGTAGATACTTAGTCAAAAGAAACTGCAGACCAACATCCTTCATGAACAAAGATGCAAAGACTGTCAACAATTCAAGCACACATTAAAAAGCTCCTAAATCCAGACCAATGTGGTTGCACCCCGAGATGCAAGGACAGTTTGACATACATAAATTAAGAAATGTAATGTGCCACATCAATAGAATCAACAAAAATAATTACATGATCATTTCGATAGATTCAGGAAAGGCTTGTGACAAAAATCAGCAACCCCTTATAACAAAAACTCTGAATAAAATGGGTATAGAAGGAGCTTTCTTAGGAAACAAAAACAAACAAACAAAAAACAGAAGCTGTATACAAACAACCCACAAGCAACATCGCACCAACGTAAGGAAAAACTGAGTCTTTCCTATTCACACGCTGGATTTTCCTCACACACCTCCCAAGAAACATCCCGCAGGCAACTGCAAGCCGACGCACCTCTGAAAATCCAACGCGCCCACCTCGGCAGACATTCAAGAAGTTCTCAAAAACGGTGACAATGCCACATTTCTGTTTTGTTTTGCTTGGAAAATGATTCTAACTTATTTTTAAAGGGTGACTCACCCTAGGGTCGGTTCCTGCTTTTCAAAGCGTTACTACACTTTCTCCAGTTTGCATTTTCATTTCTCATATGATATTAACGTGGTCACCGAGGTCTTTGAGGCTCCCACGGATGTGACGTCCGCGGGGTCCCCTTGGGGGGCTGGAGTTCACTTACCCTGTGCACAGCAGAGATCCGCACCGACCCGCTCGCTTCCAAGGAACCCACCGGGACGGAGCCCGCGGCGGGGACCCGGGTGGCGGTGGTTTCGTCTGCGCGGACGGCCCACG